AAAAAAAAAAAAAAAGAAAACTTGTATCTGAAGACCTAGAAGATTTCCACTGAATAAAGATCAGGTCTGAAAAATTGTAATCTGTTAACTAATATGCGTACTGTCCCTAAGATTACTTTAAGTTTGGGAAGTAGCTTTATAATGTAGCTAATTTTCCCCTTCATTTCATTTGAATGTTATCAATGGTCAAGAGTGAGAGAGATGGACAGGAGGAAGAGAACAAGGGTGAGAAGTTGGTAAAGGGACACATTCTCCTTGGGAAGGCAGCCGCTGAATCACTGTGACAAATTTCTACTATGTCTGGATTTTTGGATTTTAAATACTTAGAAGAGGAGCCAACAATAAGCGGGTTCTGCTGAGTGTATGTATATGTTTTTCTTTAAATTTTCATTTGTATTATAATTTTTTTGCAGTTGTTGCAAAGGGCTGGTGGCATCAATAGCTCTGAGTAAAGCATTTCACTCACGGAAAGATGCTGCTAAGGAACTTCATGAGCTACAGCAGATGAAGGTAATAATTCTGTCTTCCCTTTAATTTTGTTTTGCTTTTAGCAGATTTTTGAGGTTTGAAATTGATATAAAACAAACTGTACATATTTAATGTGAATAATTTTATGTTCTAAAATATGCATATATTTTTAAAAGTAATTGTAATAAAGATAGAGAACATATCCAACATAACCAAAGTCTCTTTGTGACTCTTTGTATTGTCTCCTTCCTGCCTTCTCCTGTCCCTAAGCAATGTCTGGTCTACTTTCTAATACTAATGATTATTTTTCATTTTCTAGAATTTATATAAATGGAATTATATAGAATGTACTCTTTTATTGTCTGACTTCTTTGACTAAACAAAATTACTTTAAGATTCATGTATATTATTGCTTTTATCAAAAGTTTATGTTTTTTTAGTAGTTTTTCATTATATGGGTATATGTAATTTACTTATATATTCTCTCTTAATGGCCATGTGAATTGTTTCTTGTTTTTGATTATTGCAAACAAAGCTTCCATGGATATTCATGTATAAGTCTTTGTATGGACGTATACTTTCATTTCTCTTTAGTTAATGTCTAGGAATGGAATGGCTGAGTTATATGGAATGTGTATATTTACCTTTGAAAGAAACTGTCAAATTGTCTTCCAAAGTGGTTAATGGGTATGAAAATCCAGGTAGACAGAAGGAATAAGTTCTAATATTTGATAGTACAATAGAGAAATTATAGTTAATGATAATTTATTATATATTTCAAAATAGCTAGAGAGAAGAATTATAATTCTTTTTGCAGTTGTTGCAAAGGGCTGATGGCGGCAGTAGCTCTGAGTAAAGCATTTCACTCATGGAAGGATGCTGTTTGAGGCAGTGAATATCTCAATCACCCCCGTTTGCTCATTACACACATATATTTCCATCAAAATATCACATATACCCCCAAACTATGTACAACTGTGCTATATCAATATTTTAAAAGTAGTGAAACAACTTTTACACTACTCCTATTAGTGTATGATAGTTCCAGTTGCTTTATATCCTCACTGATACTTGGTACACTCAGTCTTTAGACTTTCTAAAAAGTAGGTACTCATAAGTCATTTTGGTTTTAATTTGTATTTCTTTAATAATCAATAATGTTGAACCTCTATTCATGTGCTCGTCACCCATATATCTTCTCTTGTGAAAGGTCTTTTCAAATTTTTGGCCCATTTATTGTTGATTTGTTTATTTTCTTACTATTGGATTTTGAAAACTCTTTATATATTCTGGATACCAAAGTCTTTTATCAGATATGTGATTTTCTCTAAGTCTGTGATTTGTCTTTTCTCCTTTTAATAGTTCCTAATTTTGATGAAATTCAATCTATCTTTTTTTTCCCCTTTTATGGATCTTACTCTCAGTGTTATATCTAAAGAAAAAAAATTTTTTTTTGAGACAGAGCCTCAAGCTGTCACCCTGGGTAGAGTGCTGTGGCATCGCAGCTCACAGCAACCTCCAACTCCTGGGCTCAAGCCAGTCTCCTGCCTCTGCCTCCCAAGTAGCTGGGCCTACGGGCATCCACCACAATGCCCCGCTATTTTTTGGTTGCATCCATCATTGTTGTTTGGCAGGCCCAGGCTGAATTTGAACCCACCAGCTCAGGTGTATGTGGCTGGCACCTTAGCCGCTTGAGCCACAGGCACCAAGCCAGGAAATTTTTATATAACAATATTACAAAGATTTTCTCCTATTTTTTTCTAGCACTTTTATAGTTTTAGGTTTATAATTATGTCTTTTACCATTTCAAAGTAATTTTTTAAATATGTGGTGCCAAGGATGGATTGAAGTTCATTTTTTGGCATTTGGATATCTATCTAGTCGTTTTAGAACAATTTGTTGAAAAGACTGTCCTTTTCCCTATTGAGATGCCTTTACATCTTTGTCTTAGTTTATTTTCTTTTTTTTTATTATTGAATGGTAACTATGTACATTAATGCACTTCTGGGGTACAGTGTGGGGTTTTCACACATGTCTTAGTTTATTTTCAATGTATAGCTCTTATCAGATTTATTTTTAAGTATTTCATATTATGATGCTACTGTAAATAGTATTGTTTTGCAATTTCAATTTCTGATTATTCATTGCTAATATATAGAATTATAGTTGATTTTTTATACATTGGTATCATATCCTGTGATGTTGCTAAATTCACTTATTTCATCTAAATAGTTTCTTTTTCCAGATTATTTGGGATTTCTATGTACATGGTCACATCATTTATAGATAGAGACAATTTTATTTCTTCTTTTTCTATATATATATTTATTTTTATTGTCCTAACTCTACTCTCCAGTACCAGGTTAAATAAAAGTAATGAGAACAGATACCCTTGCCTTGTTCCCTATTAAGCAAAAAGTATTTATTCTGTCATCTTAAAGTATAATGCTAAATAGAGGTTTTCCCTAGATGCCCTATATCATACTGAAAGAATTCCTTTTTATTCCATGCTTTCTAAAAAATAATTTTTTTTAGTTAGGAATGGATGTTGGATTTTATCAAACTCCACCTCCCCTTTTTGCGTCTATTGAAATGGTCATGCGTTGTCTTTTTAAGTTTGTCAATATGGTGAATTACATTGATTGATTTTTGAATTGAATGTTAAACCAACCTTGTATTCCTGGGGTAAATGCCACTCCATCATGATGTAGTATAGTATCTTTTTTATATATTGAAAATTCAATTGGTTAGATTTTTGTTTAAATTTTGACATTGATGTTCATGAGAGATATTGATTACATATTGTTTGTTGTTATCTTTGATTTTGATATCAGAGTAATACTGGCCACTTAGAATGAGTTCCTACTCTTCTATTTTCTGGAAAAAATTGTGTAGAATTATACATTATTTCTTCCTTAAATGTTTGGTAGAATTCACCCATGAAGCCATATGGGCTTTGTGGGAATGTTTTGGCTAATAAATATAGAGCTATTCAAATATAGGGCTGTCTAATTTCTTAAATAGGTTTAAGGAAGTTCCTTTATCAGATGTAGAGCTATTATTTCTTTTTTCTTGAGTGCACTTGGTAGTTTTTGTCTTGTAAGAAATTTGTGGTGTTATCTAAGTTGTCTAATTTATTGGCATGGAATTGCTCACAATATTCAACTATTACTGTTTTAATAATTATAGGTTGCCCACTCTCTTATTCCTATTATTGAAAATTTGAGTCTTTTCTTTTTTATCTTTAGTGATCTATAAAACATTTGCCAATTTTATTGATCTCAAAGAACCAGCTTTTTATTTTTATTTTTTCTTTTTCTTTCTTTTCCCTTCCTTTTTTTTTTTTGGCCAGGGACTGAGTTTGAACCTGCCACCTCCCATATATGGGGCTGACACCCTACTCCTTTGAGCCACAGGTGCCACCTGGTTTATATGAAAATTTTTTTCATATAATTTTTCTGTTTTCCATCTCTTTAATTTCCACTCTAGTCTTACTTCTTTTTTCCTACTTACTCTCAATTTCCTCTTCTTTGTCTAGTTGCTTAAGGTATAGCTGACATTATTGATCTGAGACCTTTTTATCCCCTAATATAGGCATTTAGTACTACAAAATTTCTGAGTACTGTTTTAGTTGCATCACAGATTTCAATATGTTGTGTTTCATTTTAATTCAACTCAAAATACTTTTTAATTCCTCTTTTGTATTCCTTCATTCTCAGGTTATTTAGAAGTATATTTAGTTTCCAAATATTTGGATATGGATATTTTCCAGAAGTCTTTCTTTGCCCTCCCTTTCTTCCTTCCTTCCTTTCTTTTCTTTTTTTTTAAACAGAGTCTCACTCTGTTGCCCAGGCTACAGTGCCATTATGTCAACCTAGCTCACAGCAACCTCAGAATCCTGGGCTGAGGTGATCTTCCTGCCTCATCCTACTGAGTAGCTGAGATTACAGGTGGCTGCTATAACACTCAGCTAATTTTTCTATTTTTAGTACAGACATGGTCTCACTCTTCTCAGGCTGGTCTTGAACTCCTGAGCTCAAGGGATCCCCCTGCTTCAGCCTCCCAATATGCTAGGATTACAGGTATAAGCCACTGCACCCAGCCCCAGAAATCTTTCTGTTATTAACATCCTTGCTACCACTTAGAAGATCCTTTTCAAAGTATTGAGACTTATTTTAGATTCTAGAATCTGATCTATCTTGACAACTGTTCTATGTACAGTTGAAAAGAATACTTATTCTGTTATTGAACGGAGTGTTCTATAAATGTCAATTAGGCCAAACTGGTTGGTAGTCTTATTCTAGTGTCCTATATCCTGGTTGATCAAAGTAGTCTTCATTCTAATAATGCAAAATGTTTAAACAACAGAAGTGTAGTTTTCACTTTCACAAGATATCTAAGAGAATCATTAAAGAAACATCATATCATCAAAGTAACCTTTACTGATATCACAACATCTATTGTCTATGTATGACTATGTCCTCAAGTCTCCTGAGATAAATATCCTCACAATTATTGAGAAACCTTAATTAGATAATCCTGGGGGAAAGGTATGTAGGAAAAAATTTGAACTAGGCAGACAAGGTTTGCTGTACTGCTTCAGCTTAGCTTCTCAGATTCCAATCTTGTAGGCTGCTTTTCTGGCTTCATTACAACCTCATCCATATCCCATAAGGTGAAAAGAGGAAGATGGTTTTCCAGAGGAGCTTTGTCATGCATATATGGTGGTTCTGTGTGACTTGTATCACAATCCAGCCACATTCTAACACTTGACCTATTAGACTGATATTTGGATAACATTAGCAATAATTTCCTACAAGCAAATGCTTTCCAGACAAGGATATTTGTGTATTGCTGGACAGGGTTCTGAAGTTGTAATCTCCTACATAAGCATCTTTTTGAGTTTCTGATTACACTTACTGATGGCTCTTACTCTCCTATCATAACAGCCTTGATAAATTGCTTCTTCAAGAGATGGGGATTATCTAGTTCCCCAAGATCACCAAGACAGTCTAGTGGTTAATGACCCTATTTACCTTCCACCTGATTTTGGCATATCTTGATCCAGCTGAGCTCTAGTTAAATTCAGGAGGCTATTTTCCAGGAGGACTCAGTTTTCAGGATCTTTACCTCTATACCTATTCCTAAAAGAAGTTGGTTTCAGTATCCCCTCTTGGGAATGAGAATTGCTTGTTCTATATAAGTCTTTATTTGAGACTCAGAGGCACTGTGTCAGGTTTTGGCATCCAATAAGAGTATACTGGACTAGAGCAGAGGTATCCAACCTGTGGGGCCTGTGGGCTACATGCTGATTTTGTGAGGACTTTTTTTGCTTATCTATAGTGTCAGATATCCCAAAAAGTATGTACGTACCTTTTTTTATTTTGCCAATCAGCTTTCATTAGTGTTTGTGTATTTAATGTGTGGCCCAGGACAATTCTTATTCTTCCAGTGTGCTGCAGAAACAGAAAGGTCAAATACCCCTAACCTAAAGCAACTGCTGAAAACCTAGAAACATAGTCCCCAGTAAGCTGGGTATCTTTTTTTTTTTTTTTTAGAGACAGAGTCTCACTTTATTGCCCTTGGTAGAGTGCTATGGCATCACAGCTCACAGCACCCTCCAACTCCTGGGCTTAGGCAATTCTCCTGCCTCAGCCTCCTGAGTAGCTGGGACCACAGGCCTCTGCCACAATACTTAACTATTTTTTTTGTGGCAGTTTGGCCAGGGCTGGGTTTGAACCCACCACCCTCCATTTATGGGGCCAGTGCCCTACTCACTGAGCCACAGGCACCGCCGCTAGCTAGATATCTTTTTAGATTGACCATCTCTAATGTTCTAGGCACCTATTATCGAATTAGAATCACTGATATACTGGAGTATAGTCATAATCTGAATAAACAGCTGATTTCCTAGAAGGATCTCTGAGATATCCTTTAGCATGCCAACACTGACACATTAACCAGCACCTGACATTGCTAAGAATGTATGAGAAGGAAATATCTCCTCTCAATACCAAAGAAATACCATAATGGAAATAAGGCCTTCAAATGAGGCCTCTAGCTGAGGCTCTTCAAATTGACTTCTGGCTACAATTAACTTCCTCCTTGCCATTTAAATGTTCTTATCTCATTTTACTGGGGGCAGAGGAAATATTATTACTATAGTGGTTAAGAGTACAGACTACCTAGATTAGAATCCAAGCATCATGCTTAACTATATATCTATATCTATATATGACCCTGCACAAGATATGGAACTATTCTGTCCCTCAGTTTCTTCATCTAAAAAGAAATGAGTGGGGCAGTGCCTGTGGCTTAGTGGGTAGAGTGCCAGCCCTATATACTGAGAGTGGCGGGTTCAAACCTGGCCCTGACCAACTAAAACAGCAAGGACAATTGCAACCAAAAAAAGAGCCAGGCATCATGGCAGGCGCCTGTAGTCCCAGCTACTTAGGAGGCTGAGGCAAGAGAACTGCTTAAGCCCAGGAGTTGGAGATTGCTGTGAGCTACTAAGGGCGACAGAGTGAGACTCTGTCTAAAAAATAAAATAAATAAATAAAAAGAAATGAGTATGATAATAGTTCATATCTCATATTGAAGATAAAATGAGTTAATATATGCACAATGCTTAGAACAGAGTCTGGCATATAATTGTTTGCTATTTCTATTATTATTTTATTATTATGCAAGCATAATAAAATTGACCAGGCTGATCATGTGAGTTCCATAACGTTTATTAAGACAGGCCACATAGGCCTTAGTAAACCCAATAATCTTTCTGTATCTAGTTTTATATCACTTCACCTCTCCCTATCTCTTTACAACCCAGATCCCAAACCCTATCAATAAGAGATAATATGATTTAGTTCTTTGTTCATAGCAAGTCACCTCTGCAAAAATCTTTGAAGTGAACTGATATAAAGTTAATTGAAGGGAGTTATATTTAGAGGGATACTTAGCAGTTCCTCAATAAAAGTGAGTGAATGAATGAGTTGGAAAAATCTGATTTTTTTCTGCTTAGTAATCTTGTATCTCTTCTCAGAGAGAATGTTTTGAATGGATCAACACATGCTCTCACCTCCTTTCTGCTATCAAAGGAAGAGAAATAATATTGTTTACGTTAGAAGAAATGGAGCGCCTATTTGAAGAAGAGGTATTTGCTGCATGTTAGCACTGGTCATTATTCAGGTTTTTCCTGGATTTCAATAGATAAAGTTCAACTTTTTTCCAATCAGTGTCCTTAATCCTTGTCCCTTTACTTGAACAGAATGGAATTTTGGTTCTAAGCAAGATCATTGACAGTTCTTCTCCCCTTTAAGGAAAAGGTCATCCACTTCATCTTTCCTCACTCTCTTAGTAGATGATTTTGTAAGAGAAAAAGTGGCTTGCAGGTGGGAGCTCCCTGGCACTTCCTAAGGCACATCCCCAGACTTAATCTGCTGTGCTCCTTTCCCTTCTACTCTCAGTCTTCCCACCCAAGATTATTTCTTCCTTTGAGCACTTAATTTCACATACAGTGTCCTCTCTCTCTTTTATATCTTTAATATCTTCCTCCCTAATGGTTCCATTTTATCAATCTAAAAACAATGTAAATCATGATCATTTCTCCCATGCTAAAATGTCTGTCCCTCAATCTCATCTCCTTCTCTGCTACTTCTTTCTCTCTTTCCTTTCCATCACAATCACTTTAAACTCTAAAAATAATATAAGGGCACTAGTGATTACTTAATGCCAAATCCAAGTATCTCCAATCCCATATTTAACCTGATTTCTCTGCAGCATTTGGTATATATTAACCATTAATATATAAGATATGTAATATAAAATGTTAAGGGAGTAGTTCAACAAGAAGATACAATAATCTTTAATATACATGCACCTAACTGAGGAGCTCCCAGATTCATAAAACAAATTATTTAGATTTAAGCAAAGAAATGAACAGCAACATCATAATAGCCAGTGACTTCAAAATTACACTTACAGAACTGGACAGATCATTGAGGCAGAAGATCAACAAAGAAACACATTGTTTCTCTAGTGGCCTAAACCCTAAACTGTACGTCATTCAAGATGCACCCTCTCCTTCCCTTACTTCCTTCTATCCTTCCTCTTCTTTAAATATACTCTTCTGTTGCTAGAGTGATTGTTTAAAAATGCAAAGCAGATCAATCATTGATGCCTTCAGAATAAAATCCAGTCTCCCCCTGCATAACAATCAGATCTTTCCTCTGTTACTGTGCCTTGTTCGTTTACCTGTTCTTTTACCTGTTTACCTGTTCGTTTACCTGTTCTGTTCTTAGTTTCTGTCCTATTGAGCTACTTTTATTCTCAGAGCCAATCATACATATAGAATATCTGCTACCTAGAACTCCTTAGTGCCTCCTTCTTTCCCCTCTTAATCCTTCACGAAGAAACTCAGATATTATCTTCTTCAGGAAATCTTCCTGACCAAGCCCCCCTTTACCCCTGTCCACTATCTGGTCTAGGTTAGATATGCCTACTGTGTGACTGTGTGCATCCATAGCATTTTCTTGTCCACGAAACTGTTAACTGTTAAGGGCAGGGACCATTCTTATCACTAGCACAATACCCAGTGGTAGGATTAGTGCTCATTAAACATTTTTGAATGAATAATTATTAATACTTATATACTCTAAGCTATGATTATATTGTTTTATCTCACAGGACCCTTTAAAATTATTCCTTGATCCTGAAATAGTCAAGTCTTTGAAAAAGGCTGAAGAAGAAAAGAAGTATGAGAAAGTTCAGGAGGAAAAGAAAAAAGAGAAAGCAGAGGAGGTAATATTATTTAGTATTATTTTTTCCTTTATCTTTTTGAAGTACACACACACACATACACACACAATGGGAAGTAGAAGTAGACCCAGTGGCTCATGCCTGTAATCCAAGATTTGGGGAGACCAAGGCAGGAAGACAGCTTGAGCCTAGGAACTAGAGACCAGCATGGGCAACATAGTGAGACTCTATCTCTACAAAAAAGGTTTTGAAGAAAATCAGGTGTACGTGGTGGTGTGTGCTTGTAGTCCCAGCTACTTGAGAGGCTGAGGCAGAAGGATCACTTGAGCCTGGGAGTTGGAGGTTGACATAAACTATAATGATGTCACTGTACTCTAGCTTGGAGTGAGACTCTGTCTCACAAAAAAGAAAAAAGAGAGAGAGAGAGAGCAAGCATAGGGAATGAACTCTTCAATTTCCTTCCCCCCATATAGATTAATTATACCTGCAGACACACTTATCTTTGTTCTTTTATTTTCTTTTCTAGATCCAGCCATTTCCCATTAGCCTCTTCTCACCTGTATTCCTATTAATTACACAATCTAACTCTCACCCTGGTGCTATATTTTTAATCCCATCACTGCCAGATTTTTGCAATAATAGTTTAAAACTCCTCATCTTTACTTCTTAAACTCCCATTCTAAACTGTCTTTTCCCCATCCTTCCAGGTCTGTCTCCCTACCTCTCTTTCCTTCACCCTGTCTTCACCCCTGCTGGGGCATTTGTAATAATAACAACCATTCCTGGGGCATTTTAACAATCATAACAATTACAATAATAATACAATGATAACTACTAATAAGTGAGTGCCTGTCAGGAGCAATATTCTTTGCTTGTGTTATTTATCTGCACAACACAACTTCAAAGTATAGTAGAAACTCTGTGAATTGACCACCCAGGGAACTGCAACAAACTGGTCAACATTTGGAGATGGTCAACATAAGGAACTAGATCTACTATACTGATATATACATGTGGTATATGCCTGGTCTATGAAAATTAGGTCACCTTAAGGAGGTGGTCAGTGTGTGGGGGGGGTAAACTATGGAGGTTATACTGTATATAAGATCGCCCCCATTTTACAGATAAGAAAACAGAAGCACAGAAAGGTGGAGTGACTTACCCTAAATCATGTAGCTATAAGTGGCAGAACCATCATTCAAACCCAGATAAGTCTGGTATAAAAGCCCTTGCAAATTCCTAGATTGACTATTACTGTGTTTGGCTTCCAGAACTCAAGATTGCTTAACAGTCTTTATATGTCTTGATTTGTCCCTGATGTGTTTCTTCTTTGTATATAGTCTAAAATATTCAGCATGATCCCAGGCTCTGTCCTACACCTTCTACTCATTGTATAGGCAGTACAATAGAACAAAAAAATTGTACAACATCCAAGCCTCTTTTTACCAGCATTTTCTATTTTAATTCTAGTAAAGTGCTTAGCGTATAGAAGGCACAGAATAAATGGAAACCATTACTATTATTATCATCATCATCTGTGGACTTAGTTCAGGTCCTTCTCTATTTTACAAGTGGCTGTTCAGAGTTCAAATATAATTTTCTTTGTGAATACTTCCTGGAATGTTTAGGCAGAATTCAGAGCCCTTTTCTGGGTTCACACAGCCCTTGGAATATACCTTTATGCTAACGGTAATCATGTTGTCACAATTATTCCTTTTGCTATGTCTCTCTCCCACTGTACTGTGAGTTCCTGGAGTCTGGGAGAAATCCTCTTTGTTTTTCCCATAGTTAAATCCTGTGGCCCCACTCCCTCATCTCTACCAAGTTCTTACAGTGTTTGTTGCATGCAAGTCTTCCAAAATGCTTGTTGAATGATTAAACAAATGGTAAATGAAAGCTTCTAACATGGCACCAGGTAACTTAACGAGCCACTGTGTCACATACCAGCTCCCTGAAAGGTCTTTGGTGTTTCTCTGCTTCAGCAACCTTCGACATCTACAGAGCAGGAAAAACTCATGCGATTCATTGGAAAAGATGAAAATATTCATACCAAACCTCTGTTTCGTATAGAAGATTTGACTTCCTGGGTATGTATCTGAAACCTAACTAGGAAATTCAGAACAGAGCTCCTAAGTAATGTATTTTGCAAATATCTTTTTTTCAGCATAATCCCTAGAAAACTTTTTTTTTTGCCTTAACTTTATAAAAACTTCTCATTCTCATCTTTAAATCTCATTTTAAGATCAATATTATGTACCTTATTTTAAAAATTTCTTGGTCAATATTGGACCAATTTTTAAATATTTGGTAGGCTGTATTGAGAATTGTGATAAGTATATAACTTCAACCACAAGAATTACTAGAAATGGGAAACTCAGAGACAATGGCTATGGAAACTCATCAAGAAAGCAAATTTAAATTTTCTCCACAGAAATTTCATTCTAGGACCATGGTAGGCTTAGTTTATCTCTGGATTAGTATCTTGCTGACTACATAACTCCATGGCTTTAGGACTTTATGGATGGGCTTTATTCATGAATCCCGTGAAATTGTGTGCAATATTTTGTATATTTGTTCATACAGTGCTTTTTGGGGGGGGGGGATTGGGTCAAGGGGAAGAATCAATTTCATCACAATTCTTGATCTAAAGTTGAGAACCATTTCATTATTAGGAGATCTGATCCATTTGAGAAGGTATTGTTGTATGCAGTCGGGGCTGTGGGGCTTTGGGGGGGTGTGAGTAATAGTGGATGGCAGCTAGATCACTAAGGTGGAGGCATGGCCCAAAGTAGAGGCAAATTGCAGGGATGTATATTCAGGGAGGTTGCTGGAAATAGGGTCCAATTCTGGTAGGAAGAACTGGAAGAAGCCATGTAGAGTTAGGTGGGAGCTTGTAAAATTGGAGGGAGAGTGTTACATGGGGTAAGAGGTTATAAGCACATTCTCCTATAGTGGTGCCTTTTCAGTAAGTTTTAAAAATAATGTATTAATATGTCAGTCATTAAGACTATGGTGCAGAGATGTAAACAGAAGCAGTGGGAATAGAATACAATGTCTTGAGACTTATTTAAAAAAAGGAAAGGAAAGAAAGGTAGCACCTTTTTATCCGCTAACTCCCATCAGTCCTAGCCACAAGCTCTCCTGCCTTAGATTTGATTACTTGAGATAAGAACCTTGCTGTGCCATGCAAGATAGGCCTCTGGCTCAGGTCCTAAAGCCAGATAGGAAACAGAGAGGAGACCAGGAGTCTGTAGCATGGGGCAAAACCAAGGAGCATTGCCTTCCCTTTGTGGGTGGAGCTCTCTGCTCCCAGATGCTGTCATTTTATGTGGTATTGTGTGGTGCCACTCAGTTGGCCCAGCTGGGGAGGATGTGGACCAGAAAGTCCACCTTGAGGCTTTTGAAAATTTGCTGCTGCTACTACAGATCACTGAAGACCAAACGGTCTAGGTTTTCACTAACCAAAAAGTCTAGAGAGTGAACTGAAATGCCATCCAGATGTACAATTACTTGCAAGTTTCCAGAGGTCAAGAAGAATCACATTCTTCCTGTGAAATGGTGTCTAGGGTACTACCCAGGAAGAAGAGGATCACCAGGTGCTCCAACAGAAGAGGCTTGGTTGTGCTGGCCTGGTTGGGGACAGAGTTGATATTTGGAGATGTTGGTACCCAGAGAATAAAGTTTCCTTGAACTGGCTTGTGATCTTAGAGATTTGGGCCAGGGAGCATAGCTAGGGAGAGTGTTATCTTGGTTTAGACTACCCTGCAGGATCCTTGGAGAAGGCAGGGCCTGAGCTCCACATTCTTTCTGCTAACAAGACAGTGGGGCTTCTTGTAGGTTGTTTGAGTTTTTCTTTTGTTTTTGTTTGTATGTTTGTCTTCCTTTATCCTTTTTTATAAATATTCAGCCTCCAGTCCTAAGAACAAAAATAACCATTTAGGAGAGATACAAATCCAAGGCACTAGACCTGTTGGGTAGCTGCACTCTATCTTTCTGGTTTAAAAACAACTCTCTGGAGCCCATACATCTGATTGACACTGGGGAAAGAGAATAAAAGAAGGAAGGGATATGGAAGCAGAAACCTGTGGTCTGCAGGTAAAACTTGGGAGCTAAGGTATAGAGCATCAGAGCTCTAAGAGATAACTGGGTCCTAAGTTTCTAGTGAGAAGAAGCTCCAGACCAAGGGCTAAAGACCTGAGCATGGAGAATTTCGGTTACTCCTTTTGTTCCTTTTTGCAAATGACTACTAGAGGGGATTTTCTAGGGGTTGTGATATAAGTGATATCTCAACAGGAATGGTGGTAAGTCACTATCAGGTTGGGTAAGCTAATTGCTTGGCCTGGTAAATCAAGGCCTCATTCACATTGTCACTTGATGCCATAGAGTCCACCAAAGCAGATATCTGGACAGTTCCATTATTCAAAACTCTCCTCAGTTAGCTGGGAGATAGGGCTTTTTGGGATCAGGAATTTCCACAAAGCAGGCATCTATGTTAAAAAAAAAAAAAAAAAAAGCCTGCTATGCCATATACAAGCTCAGCTACTCCATATTTGGCATGGCATCTGACTCACTGGTGCACCAAATGATCCCATTCAGCAGCACTGACTTTGCCTCTGCCATACTAGGGGAAGGCCAGTCTGTCTTCAGATCTGGCCTAGTTGAATCAGTTCTGAGATCTTTTTTCACAGAAACTTTGTGTTCCTCCCTGAGTCAATCATTCCACTGTTGTCCCTATAGGGAAAGCAGCAAGAATTCTTTAATTCAGCTGACCAGTGGAAATGTGGGATGAGTAAATTCAGCAATCTCTCTCAGTAACTCCTAAAAATGCTTAGAGTAGAGCTACAGTGGACCCTTGGGCAGATGCTCAGCTTACAAATAGGGCTGTGTACAGCTCAGCTACCCTAACAAGCAGACATTATAAACAATCTCTTTTTTTTTTTTTTTTTGCAGTTTTTGGCTGGGGCTGGGTTTGAACCCACCACCTCCTAGGAGGAGTGCCCTACTCCTTTGAGCCACAGGTGCCTGCCATAAACAATCTCTTTCAGGTTCATCTCCAAACCATGGATCCTGGCTATTCAGAAAGACTTATAAACATACGAGGAAGATCAGGAATGTTGTCAGCTTGCCTGTGATTTCCTTCGGAAGGGAGACCAGGGGTCAGACTTGGGGGATCAGTAGTATTTTCAACACAAGATTAGACATTCTGTCTTTGCCTCTGTCATTTGGGCTGAAGGATAGAAGTTCTTTGTTTCCTCACACAAAGTACCATGTATTCCAGGCATATACTATATTAAGAGCAGTGATTAATTTACCCTTTTCATAACACCAACAGGGAAGGTCTCTTAAAATGGTGACTCTAGAAAATATGGCCCAACTGGTAGTAGTATCAAGTCCATCTAGGAGTTCAGTGCTGGGTATTGGGTCCTATGAAGCTGAGCAGAGAAGTCAGATCTTCTCTGAGGCACTCCCAAGCAAAAGAGGTTAGTCCAATCCAAAACCCATTGACAGAGTAAAACCTCAGGAAAACCAACTCAAAAAGGCCAAAGACAGAATTGGAGTCAGACAGAGACTAGCTTGAAGCTATAGCAGGTAGGCAGCACAAGAAAGAGGATCTAATGCAAATGATTCCAAGAGCCACATGGTTTGTGTTGGTCTCTGTCACATAGAGTAAAAGGGCATAAAAAGCAGAAGAAAGTTAAGAATATGAGACGAGGGCGCATGGCAGTAACTGTGATTATCCTTGAGGTATCTACATTAGTGTACGGGTGATACCACCTGGCTTACATTGGGGATGCTAGCAGTCCAAGATGTAGTATTTCAGACCATGGGGATTTCCCATGAAAGGTTTAAAATGGGCTACAAAACGTTAATCTGGGGCGGCATCTGTGGCTCAAAAGAGTAGAGTGCTGGCCCCATATGCTGGAGGTGGCGGGTTCAAACCCAGCCCCTGCCAAAAACTGCAGAAAAAAAAAAAACCAAAAGTTAATCTGTAATTGTCAGTATCAAAACAGAGGGATGTTTTCTTGGTACATTATAATTCAATATATATTTACTGACAGAACAAGAGAGAGTCAGAAGGCTTAAATACACAATTAACGTTTACAATCCTGGTTTATGTTGAGGTCCACCTGTAGTTAAGAGTTATGTCATAGGGCTGTCAGCCATGTATGGAATTCCAGTTCTTGAAGCCTCTGCTTTAAAAACCTTTCTTTTGTTAGAAACTCATAAGTTAGTAGCACATGCTGTATGTGTAGGCCCAGCCGCATCACAGGCTGTTAATCCAGGGTGAGAAATGACAGTACTTACTTTCCAAACAAAATTACAAAAGAAGGGCCTGCAACACAAAAAAGAGAGAAAATAAAAAGAGAGTGCAATTTTTAGAATAACATGAAAAAGTTAACAGTTTCTTTTCTCCAATTTTCTTTTGGAACGAGGTAGCATAGTGTGATGAAATGTGTGACTGAGGATGAGAGGACTGGAAGATTTGGCTTTAGCCATTAGATCATGCTGCAGTTGTGGCAGGCTGCCAACTTTCTCATGCTTCTCTTTCCATCTATAATGTAGTTTACCTTGTACTTGCTTCTGGTTGGGAAATACGGATAAATGAGATTTTTTAAAGTACACAGTTTTGGAAAAATGTCATAATATTCATTAGAAAATATGCTTATAATTTTTGTCCTTTAAATTTCCTTTCTCATCTTCCTTTTATTTTGCTTTCAGGCATATATCTTGAGCCAAAATAAATTAAATAGGTTTACTTTTTCCTACATTTTCTCTGCCTGGCAAGGTTTATCCTTTTAACTAATATTTATGAAGTTATCTAAGGAATTTAAAGATCTTACTGGATTTTGCAATGTTATGTTTAATATGATGAAGTCAATTTTCTTTATTTCTTTTTGTTGTTATTATTTTCCCTACCTCTTCTTTACAACTGTAATCAAATTCATGCCCACATGTAGCATGAGCAATTTGGATGTTGTTATGCTGTTTGGCCACAGACAACCCCTTTTCTTTTTGTTTTTAAAGGTATGGTTAACCATCTATTAGATAAATATGGGTAGTAGAAAATGAATATTCCAGAAGGTTTTATCCAGGACACCCTGAAAACATAGATTATTAATTATTGGGACTCTGAATTTATTTCTACCACAAATTTTCTCTGTCAGAGAGAAGAAGCTAACAAAGGTACATTGGCCCAAAAGTATCTTGAAGCAATGGCTATAATTGAATATATGCAAGATAAATTAACGTAAGTATGAGGCACCACAGTGGTAAGAGGATAAAGGTTGCTGGCTGAAAAAAATCTACACTTTTTGACTTTGGTTCCCCTGCTTTATCCTCACTAGTGGGATGGGTATTTTCAAATCTTTTGCTAAAAGCAATGAGCTACATTGGTGTTATAGGAATACCTGTCCTTACCCACAGAAGAGAAGGAGGAAGATAGAAAAGTGTATGTGTGTATGTGTGTGGGGGGGAGGTGTTGGTTGTTAGGAATGATCCAATTCAATATGTTTCTAAGAGAGGACTTAGGGGAAAAAATGAAACTGGGAGAAACTACTGTGTTTGAGAAAGAATGTTACATAACCCAAAGAGTAAGATGGACAATATAGTTGAGATGGCTAAGGATGTCAAAAGAAGACCATAGCCATATAGAAATATGAAGATCTGACAATTATTATGAACTCATCCTAGAAAAGTGCTACAGACCTCACTGAAAAATATCACTATGGTCACCTTCAAAGTACTCTTCTTGGGAAGCTATGCACAGACACTAGTGCCTAGTCCACCTTTCAAAGCAATTTTGGAACTCTTTTTTTGGAATGGCTATCAGAGCTGTTGTTGTATTACCCTTGATGTCCTGAAAGCCATCAAAATGTCTTCCTTTCAATATTTCCTTTATCTTTGGGTAAAAACAAAAGTTATTTGAGACCAGATCAGGTGACTAGGGAAAATATTCCAACATAGTTATTTGTTTACTGCCTAAAAATTCCTTCATAGTGCCATGCGAGCTGGTGCATTGTTATGATGCAAAAGCCATGAAGTGAGTGAAAAATTCAGGTTATTTTTATTTAACTTTCCATGCAACCTTTTCAGCACTTCCAAATAGTAAATTTGGTTAACTGTTTTTCCATTTGATACAAATTCCTAATGAATAATACCTCTGACATCAAAAAAGGTTAGCAACATCATTTGACTGTTGATTTGGGCCAACCAAACTTTTTTGGTCTTGGAGAATTGGGTGACTTCCATTGTGCACTTTGATACTTTGTTTCAGTGTTGTATTGGGGCGTCCATGTTTCATCACCCGCAATAACATGACCCAAAGCATCATCTTGTCTCTCCAAAAGGTCTTGGCAACTTCCACTCTCCTTTATTTTTGTTCATTGGTAAGCTTCTTTAGGACCATTTTTGCACACACCTTACTCATGCCAAGATTTTCAGTTAAGATTTTCCTAACTATTTCTCTATCAATGTTTACTTGGCCTGCTATGCTTCTCATAGTCAGCCAATGATTTTGACTCATAATTTGATAAATATTTGCAATGTTTTTATTAGTGCTATTCTTATTGGCTGTCCTGACCTCTCTTCATCAGTGAATGTTTCTCTACCCTCAGAAAATCATTTAATTCATTTGTACATTGCTGTTTTCTTCATAGCATTATCCCCATAAACTTGGACTAACATGTCCTTGATTTCATTTCCCTTCTTGCCAAGTTTAACAAGAAATTTAATGTTTACTCATTCCTCTAATTCAAGCTCCAACATTCTCACATGTTTTGCACACAAAAACATGCAACAATAATGAATGCCAATCAGCAAGATACTGCCACATGTCAACATAAACATAGCTGTGAGACAACTGATATTCTTACTGAGTTGTTGGGACAATGTAAGCACATGGTGGCAAGTTTGCAAACTTAATTGCCACATGTTATATAACATGTGTAGTAATTAAGAAACATCCCAAACTAGTTTTCTTGATTGTAAAGTTTAAGTCTAGAGGCGCTAGAAAAGAAGGGACATTATTGGATTTTTTTGTTAGGTCACATCAATTAAAAGAAATAAAAATTAACTCCTGAAATGGGGCTCCCTGACAAATGATAGAGAATTCCAAATATCCAAAAGTCAGATTTTGCTAAGAAAAGATAATATGTTATATTCTTAAATTGCAACATGGTTGCTCTGACATCAGCATCTAAAGTAGTTTCTGGGCCCCCAATTCTTGTTTAATTATTAATTCTGCCCCTTCCCTTATCTCTCCCCTTTAGACACATTCATCTAATCTCATTGCTTGTTTTAGTCAATGAGTTTCTATATCAAATATACTTTTTCTGCCCTTTCCATTTTGTTCTGTGTCTTTGATGTGTTTGTTCACATCAGGGAGGTTGAAAGCAGAGCCAGACAGGCAGAGGAGAAGTTTGAGGATATAAATGAGAAACTCCATTATACCCTTATAAAAAATAATGATCTGGAGAAGGAACTAGAGGAAATAATTAAGGGACCTACACAAAAAGAGCCTGAAAGAGAAGAAGAAAATGAAAAAGAAAAAGGAGAAGAAGAAGAAAAAACAGAAACATATGACGAAGAAGACATCAAGTTAGCAGAAGGTTCCTCAAAATCTCCAAAGAAAGGTAAGACTTTCTCATTTTGCTTTACTTAGGTTATATTTATGAAAGAAAACTTGACAGGGCCACACCTATTTTGGAAGATCATAAATATCTTTAGTGCTGTTCTACTAGTTTATACTTCTCATAGGAATCCACATACATTTAATAATTGTTTTATGCACACAACTCACAAAATGGAAAACCAAATGATTAATAATTGTGAATTAATAAGTTATTATCAAGTACAATTTTTATTTACAAAACTGGCAAAGATATCTTAAAAATAAAACACAGTGTTGATCAGAAATGGCAATGTAAGTAATTAATTTTACAGATAATACTTGTAGATAGGCAAAGAGATATAATAGCCTTCTTAGAAAATAACTTGAAATGTAACCTAAACATTTGTACCCTCATATTAATCTGAAATAAAAAAGAAAATAATTTGATATGTGTTGATATTCTTTAAAACATGCATACACTTTAACCTAATAATTTTACATGAAAAAATAAATAATCCTAAGTAGAGAAAAAATTAATGCAAAAATATATTTAGTATATTGTTTATGTGATAGAAAAAAATAGAAACAATCTGTCTGTCCAGGTGGTGCCTGTGGCTCAAAGGAGTAGGGCACCAGCCTCATATGCCAGAGATGGCAGGTTCAAACCCAGCCCCATCCAAAAACTTCAAAAAAAAAAAAAGCAATCTGTCTGTCCAATCATAGAGATTTAAGTAAATTATGCCATATCAATATACATGAATATTATACAACTATTAAAATGATATTTAAAAGGAGTTTGTAGTGAAATGGGAAATTTTTATGCTAAAATATTAAATGCAAGAAGCAGGATATGACACAATTTTTTAAAGCTAGAAAAAAGACCAGAAAGAAATATGTCCATATATTGGCAGACATTGTCTCTGAGTGATGGAGGTTTATGACGAACTTTGTCTTTATTTTATTTGGGGGGACTTATTGGATTTTCTATGATTAAGAATATCTTCTACAGGAACAGCAAGTTAACTTTTCACTTTTTTTTTTTAGACAGAGTTTCACTGTGATGTCACCCTCAGTAGAGTGCTGTAGCGTCACAGCTCACAGCAACCTCAAACTCTTAGGTTTACATGATTCTCTTCCCTCAGCCTCCCAGGAGGCTGAGACTACAAGTGCCCGCCACAACACCCGGCTATTTTTGATTACAATTGTTGTTATTGTTGTTTGGCAGGCCTGGGCTAGGTTTGAACCCACCAGCCTTGGTGTATGTGGCTGGCGCCCTAGCTGCTGAGCTACAGGCACTGAGCCATTTTTCATTTTCTTATTTATAATTAGTTCTGTAATATTCCCCCAAGCAGTTCTCCATATTCCCAATATTGGAGCCTGTTTTTTATTTTTGCTTTTATCTCCACCTGGTAGTCTGTTCCCAGGACAACTCTTGGTGCAAAAGATAGGGAAGGAAGGGAATTACTTTCTGTTTTTCTCTGCCACTCTTCTCCCCACTTCCAGACACCACCATTAAAGTCTTTGCCAGGCGGCTCAAAAGTAGAGAATGAGAAGCCTTGAAAAACTTAGGAGAGCTGGTCCTAAGCAAAGCAATCTTCATGCTTTGCAGGTGACCTGAACAGAGATAGTCTCCAGAAAATCTATAAGTTAGACATTTCATAGGTAACCCCTTAAAAAATGCAGAAACTTCTGGAGCAGTCTGACACTGATATATTTCCACGACTTAGTGCAATGACATCACTTTTTTTTCCTGAGAATCATCAAGTGAAGGAATAGAAAATTATATTATGGTAAAGGAAGGAGCCTTGTGAATGCTGAGTAAAGAGAATACCTGAACAGAGTAGAGGGACATATTTGGTTTTTGTTTTTATAGTCACTATTTTTAATAATTAGCAAATCACTGTGCTGTGAACTGTGAGTGAAGAAAACAGTTGAGAGGGGAGTTTACAAAGGTGAATGTGGCTTAGTCCCTGCTCTCAATGGGGTCTATAGTTGGGTGTGGGGAAAATACACTAAAAGCAATACAAAGTGTGAACAAGGACAACCAAATGTAGGGTGGAGGTGACAGTAGTCAGTCTGGAGAATTCTAATTGGGACGTTGGGTGTCACGGAGCCACTTTTCATGAGCATATTGAGGAGAGCAGGCTTGATGGCCAGAGGCCTTCTGTACCCATCCCAGAAGTGGGGCTTGGGTAGGGCCTGTGCCTAGGATATTAGAGAGAAATGGATGGGGAGACAGCAGACGGGTGCAGGAATGGATAAGGGAGGATTCTGAAGAATAACTCTATTTGAAATTTTTTTCACCAAGCTTGAGATGTGTACAAGAAGGAAGGAAATGATTTTTTTCTCTTTTTCTTCTTAGCTCCATGACCATATAGTCCATATAGTCCTCTGCCCCAGGACCCAGAACTCAAGACAGTTAACTGACCACATTTAAACTTCGGGAAATGAATTCTGAATCTTAATAACCAAATTAAAGAGTCATCTTTTTTTCACATAGCTTGTTTGTAGCTTAGGGGTTACTCAAGTAGAATGGAATTTAAAACTATTTTATAAATTAAAAGCCCTTAGTAAAGATAAGGTATTATTGCTACAATACTCTAATTTTTTTTTGTCTTTTTAGAAGTACCACGTGAAAACGTTAAACCCAGAACCCGGTCTAAATCCTCTTCCAAAACAAAACCTAAGTAACATCGACAGAGCGCTGGGTTCACAGTGGCTATATCACTGAGCACACCCCACATGTTACTGTGCTATGATGCTGATGATGTGGCTCAATTTGAGAAACTTCCTTTGTAACAGCTAGAAGAGCTGCAACATAACAACACAAGAACATTTTCTCTTTAAAAGTCACAATGACGGCTGCAGGGAGTCAGTGCATTAGCCTTACTTCCCAGATTAAACACACATTATGCAAAAGTTTGTTAGCCTCTTCAGTTGATTTCTTAATAGAAGTCTATGAGAAGTATCAGTTTTTATTAAGAAAATAATACTTTTTGAAGACTGGACACTGCAGAGAAGACTGGCAAATAAAAAACGTTAGTTTTCAATTTGGAAGAGAGGATCCTGATGATGCCCTTAGGTTCCTATAGCATGTCTGGATTTCTTATCATTTGGGGCGTTCTTATGATTTGCCTGATCTTCAGAATAGCCTTACAAACTAGGTGGGGAAGACACTGTTATCCCCATCTCTCAGAAGATGCAGCTGAGGTGCAGAATGGTTTAAGACTTCAGCAGTCACAGAGCTGATTAACATCAGAGCCCCTAGCTCACTAGACTCATGTCCAGACTGTTTGACAATGGCAAAGGACCACCAGGCCATTGCTCAAATGGTTTCCTTAATAGGGACTGAAGATTCATCCAGAATCTTTTTTTTTTTTTTTGCTTTTACTGCCTCATTTATCCATTCTGTTTATGACCCTGAATCCATTTAGGCATGAGAGGTGGACTAACATGCAAAATAAGTTGCCAATGACAAGTAGATGTTCTGGGCAGTCACTCAGCACTTGCTTCCTATTGCACTGCTCTTGGCTCACTTGCATTTGCTCTTATTTCTAAACACCATGGTAAGCTTTCAACAGATGCTTTGGCTCCACGTATTTCATATTCCTTTGGGTTTATCTCCTGGAATTTTAGACCTTTGCCTGCTCCGTCAGCCTCAGAAATCCCCCAACTCTTGAACTCCAACTTTATTTAAGCAATACCCTGGCCAGGCCTACTGTTAATAATCATCAAAGTATGAGGGATGGGTTTGAACACTGCTTAGGATATACCTAAGCTTACTGGATGAAGTCTGGTCAATTTCATTCTTTATCTCCAAGGGAAGAAAACATGAAATTCTTCACACACTTGGCTGTAACTCATGACCCAACTGGCAAAAACAGCTGAAGCTATTGGCTCATGCTTCCAGTTGCTGGTGCAGAGACAATCCTACCTTTGTTCTTTCCAAAAGAGATTCCTGGATGACTCAAGAAAATTTGGGGGCTTTTTTGTGGGGTTGCAGAATAATTTTTATTTTCCATTTCACAGCAATGAGGGTCATTTCCATACATATGAGTAGCCTCCATCCCCGACCATGAGAGCCCATCCCTCAGAATGTGTCAAATACCATGTCATCTCCATTGGGTGAAAGGCTCAGGCTCTAAAGGCCAACATTATGTCTGCTGCCACTACAATTAAAGTGAAATGTTTGGTATCATGGACCTATGTTAGTTGAGACAGTTTGACAAGAAGCCACAGAAACCTATTCTTGCAAAACCCAAGTAAAAGGATAATTTATCAAAAGAATGTTGGGGAGCTCAAGGAATTGAAGGGAAGGTTAGGAACAGACAGGAACCAAGTAGTTTTTAGATGGTCTCAGGCACAATATTTCCTTCACCAGTCACCTTAGTACCATGCTGCCAAACAGACTCTAATAATTTCTTCTGTCCGAATCATTCTGCCATAATCTCAAAATCCTGAGAGACAGTGTATCTCGTCATCACAAACCACCCCATCAGTTTGCCGGGGATGATGAGAAGACTTCAGAGATCTCTGACTTCCTTAGAGGGAAAGAAAGTTTGCTCTACTGTGAGATTGTAACACAGCGTGGGGAAAGAGGATGTCCCCCAAAGTCAGGGTTGTGTTAGAAAGGCATAATGAACGTTAGGTGGTTTTTTAGAAAGTGTGTTATGGGGAAGGCATCTGCACTGTCATTCTCTTCAAGCTAGCCTGGGCAGCTCCACTCTCGCAAGTAATGGTTTGTAAAGTTTTAGACAGTCCTTGAGGTGACTTCCTGAGCAGAGTGGAGGCTCATCACTGGTGTTCAGGCTGTGAGGTGAAGCTGTTATGCTTGGGCTATGGGAGACCAGCCACTCTGTGCTCAGATGTCCATACAGAGCTATGCTGACTATCCAGTGGAGAGGAAACTGGTTGGCATAATTATACTCCTCTGTGTCCCAGCCCCCAGTCTCAGTGGCTCTGATGCTGAGATGGTAGTGTTTCAAGGTGCATACTATAGTCTACTTAGGGACCTTAGGAAGCAAGGAGCAAGCCCCTTTTTCACCAGACTTGTATCTTCACCACATACCATGCCTACTCTGTTCTCCACAAGATTGGGCGCCACAAGATTCTCCCTTCAGAGATCTGGTCCTATTTGCATAATTGGTCCCACTGAATTGCCCATGGTTAATGTGTAGCACACATTGACTGCACTTCCCTCTTGTTCTTGGCCTTTCCTAGCTGACATCAAGAATATTACCCAGGAAACCTACATCTTGCATATTGCTTTCAAAGATGGTTATACATTCTGCTTACAGGCCTGCCCATTTCTAAAATCTCAAATAAATGTCCCACTTACCAGCAAGTATTTTCCTATGGGAATCAGAGTAGTTTCTTGAAATTTAGGAATATAATTGTTGTAGCCCTGTTTACCTGTCAAACAGAAATGCTTGCTGTCTGAGCATGAGGCTGAGATACTTGTGGCTATTCATACGAAGTTAGTTCATTAGGAGTTCCATCTCTGCCTCAGAGGGTGTGAGACCTATTGTTCCCCGCTGCTGTGACTGCTGCTCTGCGCCTCAGGGCACTACCGATCCTGTATGGTTCCCTCTTAGTTGACCTTCTTTTCCTTACTCCTGTGCTACAGAATCAGCACAGACCAGCAACAGCCGTTTCCCTCTCCACACCTCTCAAGAAAATGCCCAAGAATCTGGACTTCATGCAGGACAGGCTTCCAGACCTTGGGGTGAGAGTGGAGGGGAGTCCTGGGAGTTCAGAACTGCAGGTAGAGAATATATACAGTTTTATACAGTTTTATGCCTGGTACTAGTAGGGGAAGGAGGTCCAGTTTTTAGAGGGTCTCTCCTGTGGAATAAAATGGGAGGACATTTAAACTCTGCTTGCTTGTTTGTACAGAGTATACTGTGAGCCCTTCTCATGTGGGAGGGGACTCCTGTCCACTTGGCAATGGATTTTGTACCTTTTGTCTGTATCCTTGGGGTCACAGCTTGCCTCAGCAGGGTTCATGTGCATTCTTCAATCTTCTCTCTTGGCTCAGCTCCAAACCATCAGCTTACTTGCTGAACTTCTGTCCTTTAACTCTCCTTCTGGATGGGAGCTTCTGTGGAAAGCTGGCTCCAGTCAGCCATCTTTCCTCCACCCCCCCCCCCATTTTGTTAATCTTTTCAAAAAACCAACTTTTTGTTTCATTGATTTTCTGAATGATTCTTTTGTTTTCAATTTCATTTAATTCTGCCTAATTTTTGTTATTTCTTTTCTTCTGCTGGGTTTGGGGTTGCACTGTTCTTCCTTTTCCAGTTTCTTGAGATGATACATTAAGTTGTTGGCTTCCTCTCTTTCTGTTTTCTTGATGAAGGCTTCTAATGCTATAAATTTCCTTCTTAGGACTGCTTTTGCAGTATCCCACAGGTTCTGATAATTTGTGTCTTCATTGTCATTTTGTTCCAAAAATTTGGTGATTTCCTTCTTAATCTCATCTTTGACCCATCTATCATTCAGCCTAAGATTATTTAGCTTCCATGACTTTGTTTGAGTATGAAGATTCTCATTGCTGTTGAGTTCAACTTTTATTCCATGTGGCCCAAGAAGATACAAGGAATAATTTCTACACTTTTAAATTTGCTGAAGTTAGACTTGTGTCCTAGGATATGATCTATTTTGGAGGATGACCCATAGGCTGATGAGAAGAATGTATATTCAGTTTTATTCCAGTGAAATGTTCTGTAGAGGTCTATAAAGTCCATTTGTTCTAGGGTCAGGTTGAAGTCTAATATTTCTTTGTTTAGTTTCTTCTTGGAGGATCTATCCAAAATTGTCAAAGGGGTGTTAAAATCTCCAACTATTATAGTGCAGGAAGATATCAAGCTATTCATATCCATTAGGGTCTGCTTTATAAATTGAGGAACTTTCTGGTAGGGTGCATAAATGTTAATTATTGACATCTTTTCATGTTGTGTGTTTCCCTTGAAAAATATGTAGTGACCTTCCTTATCTTTCTTTATCTTTGCTGGTTTAAAGCCAATTGTATCTGCTACTAAAATTGTAACCCCTGCTTTTTTCTGGTTTCCATTTGCCTGTAATATACAGGTCCATCCCTTCACCCTGAGTCTATTTTTATCCTTTAAGGTAAAGGTGAGATTCTTGTATACAGCAGATCTCCTGTCTGAGTTTATGTATCCAATTAGCCAGCCTGTGCCTCTTTTGAGGACAATTAAACCATTCACATTAATTGAGAGAATTGATAAGTCTGGTTGTATTTTGGGTGTCATGGTTTTGGATGTCCAGTGGACATTTTTAATCCTTTCACCACTGTGGAAGTGGGTTTTGTTCAAAAACTTCTGGGTTAGTTTTACTTTCAAAGTAGAGCATTGCACGGATCATTGTGGAGAATGGGTCTGAGAATATCCTGGAGAGCTGGTTTAGTTATAGCAAATTTCTTCAACATGTCTATGTCATTAAAGTATTTGATTTCTCCATCACAAATGAAACTCAGTTTAGCTGGATAGAGAACCTGGGCTGGAAGTTGTTTTGTTTTAGGAGACTGAAGGTCAATGACCATCTTCTGGTTTGAAATGTTTTGGCTAAGAGATCTGCAGTCATTCTGATATTTCTCCCTTTGTAGGTGATGCTTTTCTTACATCTGGCTGCTTGTAGAATTTTCTCCTTTGTCTTAACTTTGGCAAAGTTAATCA